TCCTTGTTGTATGAATGGGCATCTTTTGGATATATGCCTAAGAGTGAAATTGTTGGGTCTTGTGGTAGGTTTATTCCCATTTTTCTGAAAAATGTATTAACTCTATGCAAAACAATGACAGATTTTTGGTCATCACATCCTCATAAATTGCTTTACCTGAAGTAATAATCCCGAAAATTTAGATTTCCTTTGGGTACAACTATTTTTTATTGCCTTGTTTTCCTTGGTAACAATGTGAAATTATCATGTTAGTTAGCTTTAGACTTTGAAGAAAAGTCCTTTAAAAATCTTTCCACGTTTCTCATTGAATACTGCATTGCTAAGGTAGGTTCGTATTACTGCATGTTTCTATGTTTTATTAATTTTAGTTCTGTATAATATACATTTTAGGATACTCTGTAGTTTTCTATTTAGTCTTCTGTGAATGTGCATTATATTAAAAACTGACAACTGTACACCAATGCCATTCCAAGTATTACTGTATTTATCTCATAGAGTAGTCATGAGTGCATACCAAGAAATGAATGAAGTAGTGCTGGAGTATACAAATGTTAAATATATCAAATGATGTTAAACTGATTTTCAAAATGACCTTCACTAATCATTTTCCCACAAGTAATGTGTAAAAAACCTGTGTCTCCAGCCCATGTTCTGCTCCCTGGACTGATATATTTTTACTTTGTTGTGTTCAATAGCTATCAATGCTACCACATTGCTTTGGTTTTCATGTCTGTTCCCTAATAATGCTGGTTATTGCTTTATATGGAATGCATGCTCTGTTTTCTGAGTACTTCCTCTTTATTAACAAGATAAGTTGCAATTTTATTGATTTGAAGTTGTATAGATTATTGAGTCTTGATTGTGTTTTTTATGTAATGCAAGCATATTCTCCCCAAGCTTAATCTTTTTTTCACTATACACAGTTTTTTAAAATTGATTTTGTTTTATTCTATATGTGTGAGTTACTTTGTGTACATATAGGTCTGTACAGCATATGCATGCCTGGTGTCCTCAGAGATCAGAGAATTGTGTTGGGTGCCCTGAGACTGGAGTTCTCAGTTGTGAGCTACAGTGTGGGTGCTGGAAATTAAACCTGGGTCCTCTGAAAAAACGACAAGTGCTCTTAACCACTCATCCAACTCTTAGTGTCCCCCCCCTTATGATGTCTTTCAATGAACAAAAGGTTATCATTAAATAGTAAGGTTGAATAGATGGCTTAATGACTAAACATTTTGCTGCTCTTTCAGAGAACCTAGGTATGGTGACCTGAAACCACGTGGTGTCTCATCATCACCTGTAACTCCAGTTCTAGGGGTCATTGGTTTCCATTGATCTTGTGGACAAACAGTTCACAGACATATAGGCAGCAAAACATACAAATAGAATAAAAATAAGCAAGTTCTTTAAAATATTTGAATTTTAATAGAATCAAACTAAGTTTTTTACTGCATGTTGTCTTTTTTCATTATTTAAAATATATTTCCTGCAGTATATATTCATTTATATCTTTTCCAAGGAATTACAAAGGTGTTGACATGTTAGGAATTTAGTCCACCTGCATTTTGCACATGTTCTATTGTCATCATTTTCTCTAAGTATAGCCATTCCCCTGTCTTCATCTCTGAAGACCCCATTTTCTTCTTATTTTCTGACATACTAGTGCCTTCTTCCCACTGAACTTCAAGTCCTATCTCTCAGTTGACTTGCAGCTTTAGCCACATTTTGTCTTTAAAGTTCAAGTTCAAACTGCATAAGAACTCTTAAACTTAATTAAAGTAAGTTCCTTCTGTATTTCCCACAGCTACAAAGCTGTCTTCCCTTTACTCTTCTCTGTATACTCATAAGTCTACAACAACCGGTTTTGTAATTTTGATGACAATTTGTTGAATCTATACATCAATTTTGGAGAGAATTTATAGATTCATAATACTTCATTACTATCTATGAACATGGTATATGACACTTCTTTAATATTTATTTGTATATTTTATCATTTTTTACTTTTAGGAATTTTTTGTTTCTATAAGTTTTCCTATATTTGTTCTATATAATATTTATGATTCATGGGTATATAAATTTATTTTCATATTCCTGAATTCCATGTTTTGATGAGATTCAATCACAATAATAAGGTAGTTTCATCCTTAATCAGTTGTCTCTGGAGATGAGTTTTTAAAATTAAATTCTTGCCGGGCGTTGGTGGCGCACGCCTTTAATCCCAGCACTCGGGAGGCTGAGGCAGGCGGATCTCTGTGTGTTCGAGGCCAGGCTGGACCGACAGCCTCCAAAACAGAGAAACCCTGTCTCGTAAAACCAAATAATTAAATAAATAAATAAAATTCTTGTCCTTTCCAAACAATCATTTGTTAATGAAGCAATGAAAATTTATTAGAAAAATCCTGGATGGTATTTTAGCAAGTAAAAATAAAACATTTTTTAGTGGCAAATATTTTCTCCCTACAAACAAAATTCTAATAGTTCCTAATTCTAATACGGAACAAATAAGAAACAGGAGTAGCTAAATGTTGTTTTAATAGTTTACACATTCCTTGAAAAATTTTATTAGTCCTTTGAAAATCTCATACACTGTGTTTTGATCATATTCAACCTCCTTCCCAATTACTCCCATATCCATTCCTGCTTCTCTATCCACCCAATTTCATGCTTCCTCTCTTTCTTCGTCTGGCTGCCTGTCTGTCTGTCTGTCCTCCTTTAAAACTCATGTGTCCAATGTTTTGCCTTGATTACTCTTAGCTCTAGAGACTTCCCCGGAGTGAGGTTGACTTATCAGAGAGTAAAACATCAAAGACAACTGGCGTTTCTTTTCCCAGTAGCTATCAAATGCCAATGACTCTGCTTGAGGTGGGACTTCATGTGCACCTCCCACTTTATGATGGGACTGTCTGGCTTAAGTTTGCACAGATCTTGTTGATGTTGTCATGATTCCTGTAAGTTCACATGTACAGCTGCCCTGCTGTGCCCCTATAACAGTTCTTTTGGAGTCACTCACCACTGATGATGTATTACTATTCCCATAGGTCAATGTGTGTCGCCTCTCATCTGAAAAGCTTCTTTGTGTGTTAGATGGCAATTACCACAGAGACCCACAACTTCGCAAAGTGTAAAGAACAAGAGACCGCATGGTTTTCAGTCCTAATAGGATGAATATATCACTTCCCTTTCCCTAAGGCTCGGAAAGCTTTTCTCAAGAGGGTGGTAGATATCTTTTAAGAGCCAGAGGTGGTGGATGTGTTTAAGGCTTACATGTTCTTAAAAGAAATAGATTATACTCAGAGAAGCAGAGCATATTTAATTGTAGGTGAATTTCACAAAAATAAAATGATTGTATAGTTATAGATTTGTTAAACGCTCTGACATTTAGATTAATTCAGTATCAACACTTCAAATTCTATAGTCTAAGAATTTTTATGTACCTAGAACATTAGTTTTTTTTTCTGTCAACTACTGTTGTTTTCAGTAAAGGTAAATTGAAACAACAAAAAGGTATGCAAAACTAAGTTAACTTCCTACATATTCAGGATGGAAAAATTTACAAACTTTTCATGATTTATAGAGATAAAATAAGCCATGCTGGATTTGTACTAAAAGTTTCAGTGCTAATAGTCTGGACTGTAGAATACAAATGTGTCAACTGACACTTTCAATTTTCTTGGGTTTTGTTGTTGTTGTTACTGTTGATTGTTTTTGTTAAGAAAATAGCTTAAAAGGGTACAAATCAACTTCTGAGTAAGTGCACATAAGTTTGGTTGTTGTTGCAGAAAATTCATTGACAAAAGTGAAAGAAAAAAATGGGGGGTTGGATATGATGGTAGAAGCCTTTAATCCCAGCACTTGGGAGGCAAACATTAACTCCTCTAGGTAGCCTCATCTACATAGAGCATTCTAGGGTAGTCAGGGATACGTAGAGATACCTAGTTTCAAGAGGTAGGAAGGAAGGAAGGAAGGAAGACTGAGAACACTCAGTGGGTAAAGTGCTTTGTATGTAAGGCTGATGATTTGAGGTCAATCCCCAGGACCCATGTAAAGATGAAAATCAGCTCCAAAAAGTTGTTCTCTGACATACACATTTGTGCTATTGCATATAAATATGAACCTGCCCATGCACATCAGATTCACCCAATAATAATAGCAATAAATTAAATAGTTTTTTCAAAGAACATAACTTAAAAGGGTACAAATCAACTTCTGAGTAACTTCACATAAGTTGTAATTTTCAGTAATTATATTTTTTGTATTGAGTATCACAGACAAATATAATTGTAATGATATTATTAAATTGCCTACTGACATTTGCAGAGAAAGTATTTCCCATTTCTAATCAGAATGCAGATTACACTAGAAAAAGCAATAGAATCTGAATATCCTTAAAGTTATGTGCTTGTGTATGAGCCCTCTGAACTCTCCATTTTAAAATTGGCTAGGGTCAATTCATGTATGAAAATTTTGAGTACAAATTTAAGGTTTTAGTGAGCTTGTTTTAGTTTGTTTTTCTTTTCTCAGGAGGCAGTTATCGTTATAACAATAAAAATAAAAGATTAGTAGGATGCAAAGCATAACTATTGAAATGTCAGAAAACCATTTTGTAGCAACAAAAACTGGAAGTTCAGTTCATAAACTCTTGTAATTTAATCCAAAATGAAAATACACTCAATTTGAAAGGTTAAAAATATATAATGAACAGTACACTTTGCTTATAGTTTGACTCTGGGTATGCTTTAATAAGTACAACAAAATCTCATTTAGAAATATGTCATTGTATAGATTATTAAGTTTTTCTAGAATTGATATTTATTAATGTGTCATCCTAAATGATTTATTAAAAAGTAAAATTTTTAAGTTTTATTTAAAATGACATACAATAATATAAAATTATGGAAGGTTATATGAACAATATTTACCTTACTGTTAATTTTCCATTGTGTAAATATACTTTAAAAGGTGTCATTTTAGAACAAATATCTGTTTTTCTAAATCCTTAGCAGTAAAGAAGAATCATCCCTAACATCTGAAGAAAATAAGTTTGAGAATTTCAAGTTCACAGGTAACATTTATTTAAAATTAAACAGGATCTATTTTTGTTAAAGTCTGCAATGAAAACAATCTTACACTTAAAAACCAATCGTATTATCTTTTCAGATGCCTATGTCCCAACAATAATTTGTTCTCATGAGGATGACTTGGGAGCCAGTCATCAAAATGTAGACGACATCAACATGGAGCATGAAGGACATAATGAAAAAGAATTAAACTTGATGGTAAGTGTTCTGGTTGCCACGGTATTGGGGAAGATGAATCTATTTATGCTTCAAAGATGATGCAATTCCTGCCTTTCAATGGCCTCCGCTAATATAATTTGCAAATGTGAAAGCATAGCCTATTCTGTCCCAGCACCTCTCTCTCCAGCTAGAGCAACAAGGCGCTTTGATTTCAGTGCTTTGCCTCTGCTCTCCAGTGTTAAATTAATGACATTCATTCCCTATCGCTTTGCCACTGGCTCTGAGGCATAGTTTGCGGGAATTAAAAGCAAGGGGCACTATTCTGATGTGCACTTCTAATCTTTGTAACAAGTGTACACTTAGCATAAACTTGTTTGTAAAATGAGAGGGCTGGAATAGAAAATGGTAAGGGCCCGATCCAATTGACAAGCCTATAATTCTTATGTTTAGCAGTCTTCTCTTTTACTATTGCTGCCCAAGTAAGAATCCCCAAGTACCTTATCATGGTAAAATAGTAAATTACCAAGGAAGAAGAAAATAAGCAGTGCTAAATAATTTTAAAACAGGAACCAAAGTTGGTAGTGTACAATTTAGTTTAATATTTGTTAGCATGAATTTCACACTTGGTGAATAGCAAGTCTGTTATGAAACTTGGAGGAGACGGTTTAGTTCACACTTTTAACACGCAGTGAGAGGTAGAGCTAAATGAGTCACATAATGCAATTTACCCTTTATTGTATTCAGCTGGAGCTCATAGCATGGGGATACATGGATTCACAATCATCTTAGATTAAAATGACGTTTGCCTCTTCAAGTGTCAGTGCTGAAACCCAGAAGAGCTAGAACTCTTCCCTTTCCCCACACATTTCACCTCTGCGATAGTGATATGCCAACTGCACCCCTAAAGTATGCAATTGACTGTACTCCAATGTTAAGGCACTACAAAGTTGTCACCCATTGTGAGAATTCTTACCGGCTGAAAGTTAACATCACCTTTTATTCAAACCACAGAATATAATGAAAGACCCCTGGAAAATCACATACTTCTCCAATATACCTCATTACCATGAGCAGCCTCAAATATAAAAGTTTGTTTAGAAGTTGCTGAAAGTGTACGCCCAATAAATGAACAGGGAACTGTAATTTAGATGCTAATTTGCTCCAGCTGACGTGACTGCATAAAACAATGAAGCTCCGTAATAGATGGAAATACAACCAAATCTGTGGAACCCACAGGCATTGGCTTATAAGACAGCTGTGCAGTTGACAAGTAACATGAGCCTTATGTGAGAAGAAGGGGAAAACGTAAGATTTGCATATAATTATTGAGATCATGCAAATGTCAGTTATGAGGAGGAAAAAAAAAACACAGGCATCTCACTGTTAAATCCTGACAGTTGGCATCACTGAAGAGCTCAAATACATTTGAGTACCAGTTGGCAGAGGGTCATTAAAACAGAATTTGCAGAGACATTAACTCCCTCACTTTTCTTTGAGTGACGTTTTGCTATTAATAGTTTGCAGAGGCTTTGCAGAAAACATATTAATAAGAGAAACTGTAATGGGGGCACCTACAGCACATATAAATGTGGCAAGGGGCATCCAGGAAGCTGCTCTCTAATTGATTAGCATGGGGCTATCAATGTGTATATCCTAAGTGAGGAAAAAGTGCAATGACAAGCAAGAATGGTTGAATAATACAATGCGATATTTGGAAGCTGAGAAGGGGAGTGATTAATTTGGTCCCCTTTCCAACTGATCTCATTCCCAACTCATACTTTACAAAGATCTTGCCCCAAACATCCAACTTCCCGAGCTTGTGTGAAATCCACAAATGAAATGAACCAAGGAGATTTACCAGATAATTACTTGAGGTAATAAAATCTAATTCACTTTGCATATATTTAAAAATCATATTTTTTGTTTTTATTTCATAAGATAAACCAACCGCTATTAAATTCTCGGGATGAAAAGAATACATTTTCGGCAGACCCAGTCAATTGGACAAATAAAGCTGAGGGGTCAGAGAAGAAGCAAGATTATTATGAAATTCATACTGACTTGTTCAGAAGGCCTTTGTCTCCAAGCTTACCAGAAGAAATCTCCTCAAAGGGAGATTCCTACCGAGGCAGAAACTATTCTCCAGGAAATGAATATGGTCATCCACCTTCAGAGGGGATTCCTTCATATGGGGGAGAAGTGGGGCCATTACTGGGAGATGCTAGCTCTGATGAATTAATGCAATTGAACCTCCACAGCCAAGAAGTCTTAGATGATAATGCCAATCCTGCCCACAGAAGTGGCAGAGTTCAAATAGCATGCCCATCCTCTGGCCACCTAATGACAGATGGTCTTAACAAGAATAATGAAACAGGAGCCAAAAAAACTGGAGTAAAAGATCACAAATATTCAAGAAGTGGTTTCTGTTTAGATGCATCCACAAATCTGGAAGAATCAAATGCATCTTCCAAAGATGATTCTACCAAGAGCAATGATGAAGAGGAACACAACAAATGCTTAAGTGTTAATGAAAACCAAAGAAAGACTTTTCCATCAATATTCCAGACCAAAGACAGACACCCAGAAATAAGCATTGAAGGGACTAAAGCTAATAACAAAGACTTAATCACACCACTAAGCAATGACACTACAACTACTACATGGAGAGCAGCAGTAGGTCCCTCTGCTTCAACAAAGACAAAAGTGTATTGGAGAGAAACCGGCAAAGGTACAACTTTAGAACCAAGAGCTCCACATCTTGGTTCATCAAGAAATGGTAACATTCTGACAGGCGATTATCTTTTACAAGCTGCAAGGGAAAAATCAGATCCTAGTAATCTTGAAGATCAGAATATGAATACACAGCATAAAAAAAATTGGAATGTTCTGGAATGTCAGCCAGAAACAAGAGGAATTGAAACAAACACAGCCAAGCAGATCAAAGAACAAGCAGAGTGTAAAGACGTGTGGGAAAAAAGAGATAACAAGAGAAGTCTGAAAGCTCCTCCTACAGAACCATTGTTTACCTGCCAAGAGACAGAATGCTATGAACTGTCTCCTCTAGCTGATCATGGTATTACTGAGAAAGCACAAGCAGTTACAGCTTATGTAATTAAGACAACATTAGAAAGGACTCCAGAAAGCATGTCTGCTAGAGGAAATGCAATAATTGCTAAGCTACCCCAAGAGACAGCACGAAGTGACAGGCCCATCGAGGTAAAAGAAACAGCGTTTGATCCACACGAAAGGAGGAAGGATGACTCACATTATACCCTTTGTCATGGAGATACAGCAGGTGTAATCCATGACAATGATTTTGAAAGGGAATCACATTTTGCTATTTGTAATGTAAGTGTAGATGAAATGGAGAAGGAGGCAACCACATCTACATGCTATCTTAGGAAGACACATGACAAGGAGAAACGTGGAATTGGAATTGCAACTTCTACAGACGAACCTTCACAGGTCATTACAGGTGATCAAAAAGCTATGTCAAAAATGGATTTACATTTGGGAGTATTAACAACAGACAAAGCAGTGTTCCTGGAAAATAAAGATCTTGAGCTGCTTCAAGAATTATCAAGGAGAACAGAAATCGATGCTGTTCGTTCTGCGTTTAATTCAGACATTTCCAGCACATCTCAGGGCAGCCCTCACGTTTACAAATGCCAATCTGAAAATTCAGAACCCTCTTCTGGATGGCTATTTGCTGAAGAGAAAGCAGATACCAACACAACACCCCAGTCTATGCCTGCCAAATCAGAATATACTTGCTGCCCAGAAAGTGAGATCCTGGACCATGTCGTGTCTAAACCTGATGATGTTTTCAAAACCTTGGAAATAATGGAAGCAGGTAATGGAAGAGAAAGACCTGTGGGTCTGATTCTCCAACAAAAAGAAGGCAAAAGTTTGGAAAAATCACATGGCCCAATGATTTTAGTCAGTGAACCTCTTGAGAATCTGGAGGAGGCAAAGCCTGACGTTGAAGGATTGATACATTTTGGACAGTCACAATGCTATTCAGATGACAAAGGATCAGAGAGCCCCACTTCTGCTACTCTCCCTCCCCAAGAAGTCCAAGCTCAGGGCAGGGAGTCTCTGCTTTCCACATACATCAACTCTAAAGTGCCTTTTTTCCTTTTGTTTCTGATCTTTCTTGCAACTATCTACTACTATGACTTAATGGTAGGTTTGGCATTCTACCTCTTTTCCTTGTACTGGTTATACTGGGAAGGGGGGAGGCAAAAAGAGTCTGTCAAAAAGAAGTGAGGTCGGTGAAATGACTATTTTCTGTTGAAAGATAAGCTATTTAGGCCCAAACGTTTGGATTGGCGAGAGAGTCTATTCATTGTTCGAAGAGTCAGTGCAGTTTTTCTCTTGAAAGAACATTTAAAAAGGAATGCATATGACGTTTGCTCCTTCATATAAGTAATTATTCTATATAGGACCATTATGCGTGGATCATTAAATACCTATATGAATATGAGATCTGAAGCACGTCAAGTTGAAATTAGGTACAGCTGTTGCTCCTTAGTAGGCTGTGAAGTCGAAATGCTTCATGTCCCTTCACTGCTTAAAATGCTATTTCTTGCATCCATTTCTTTCACAGTAAAGCTGTGGATATTTTTTTCCCTGAAAGTGCTTTCCCCCTATGGTTTTAAAAATAGATACAACATGGACAATAGCAGAGAATTTTTTTTCTTTCAGCCCATAGAAGTAACCATGAAATTTTCATTTAGTACTGTGTTATTTATCAGCATACGTTTATAGATCAAGTACTAAAAGTTCTATTTTATACCAAGAAAATGCCCATGTATGCTATCACAGCAAAACATAAGATGGAGACATATATTATGCACATTCAAATTATAATTCATATACATGCCCTTGTATCTCTTTACACCTATAATATCAGGGTGTTTATAAAACAAATTTGACCAACAATTCTGTAACAAATTAGAAATTTTCATTCAGCTCTACAAATTTTGCAGGTATCTTATTTCAAACAATGTTTTTCAATTGAAAATGTAGAATGTAATATGGCTGAACAATTTCAATGTTACGTGGTGTCCAGACATGAAATTTAAAACCTTCTGTAAGTACTGTTTTAGGACAACTTAGTAGCTAGAGAGCAGCGACTCTCATCCTGTAGGTCCTGACTCCTTTGGGATCAGATATCCTGCATGACAGATATTTACATTATGATTTATAGGAGTAGCAAAATTACACAGGTATGCAGTAGCAACGAAATAGTTTTATGGTTGGGGGGTCATCTCAACATGAGTACCTGTACACAAAGTCGCATTGTTAGGAAGGTTTAGAACCACTGCTATAGAGCATAAGGCCTTAAATGACAATAAAGTAGATAGTAGAATGGTTGCCCTTCATAATAGATCTTTTGTTTTTAATTTAGTTGTTAATATTTTCTCATAATGAGGAGATATTCCAATGTGCACTTGCAGAACAAACACCTTGACTTGGTTGTTACTCACTGTATGATCTTTAGGCTGTAAGCTGTAAGTAAGAAAAATAGGCATAGCTGGAGGCATACTGGAAAATATGTGAACACCCAATATATCAGTGATTTTGACTACTGTAATTATGGGTAAAAGATTGAAATAATAGATTTTTTTGGTTAGGTGGTAATACTGTCAAGAGTCATATAAAATTTATTTTAGCAAATTTTTGGATGACTGTAATACATAAGGCCCTGTGTGCTCTATTCTGTGGCAGTTCTGTGATACATTGAATGTACGGATCCCTAGATTTGAATGATCATCTTTGATGGGAATTTCTTTCATGGAATATTTAATTGAAAACAGTATAATATTTTTATTTATAGTCATAAACTTACATGTTATCTCATATATCTTAGAAATATGCATTTAGGAGAAAATAATAAAAATATTTTAAAGAACTTTCATCTGATACTTAGTGATTTGCTTAATTTTTGTTATACACACAACTATTTCTCAGTCTTGTAATTGCATGCTGTTCTTAAATCCCCTTGAAAGTGAGTGACTGTCTTATCTCTTTAGTAGATCAAATACAAACATCCTGGAGTAGAATGTAGGTCAAATATTTGAGTTCTTAAAAAGCATATTTTCGTTAAATACAAGTCAATTTTCTTTAAGCAGTCCTTAGAAATTATCATTGAAATTGTTACCACCATATTTTGTTGTCAGTACTGTTAAGTTAGAATTAAAGCTAGCATTCCTTCAGTGCTTTATGGCTTAGAGATTTTTTAGTTCTATGTTTTAAGAGTTTCGGTCAATATGCCATTTCTCTTTAATGCAAAGAACACTATTATTTCATGAGTACAGGTGCCCAAACTGGAATTCTTTGAAATGATCAATGCAACTTCTTTTATCTCTTTTATTTGACTTCTGGTAACATTAACTCACAAAAGTTCTCATGCATTTGTAATAAAACAGGAACAAGAGTCAAAAGATTTTTAAATTCAGGATTGAACTGACTCTTCAAACATTCTGTATGAGGAACTTGAAATAAAGTCACAAGAACACGTGAAGTGATTGATATATGGGGAGGCAGAGTTCAGTCGTCTCTTTTGGTCATATCTCTATGCTGAATAAGAAGTGGTAGGAAGAACTCATGGCCTCTGCTAAGGATTTGGCTATGGACCATGTTGGTAAAGGCCATTTTTTAAATGCATATCTGCCTGTTCCATATCTCACCAATATTGACTTTGGACATAATGAAGATATGGCAGGGTAATTAGCAGCAAGAAGCTTGGCCTATGTCATTCTCATAGAATTTGATATCATCATTATCACGTTTTATCTTGCTGGGCTTTTCACTTTTAGACATTAAGCTCTAAAAATTAATTGATAAGTAAGTCTAGGAAGCATAAGTAGTAAAAGTGACTTTCTTTTAAGAAATCTGACTTCTCTAAGCTGTCCATGTCACAATAGAATTCTCAACCAGGATGACATGAATTAGTGGATGATATCCACTCTTCAACACTGAAGAGCGTTAGGATAATAGAACAAAATTTTCCTGAGAAGCTCTAATATGTCAGTGATAAAGTTTTTCAAGGACTGTCTATATTCAAATATTTGCCAATATTTTGTCAAAACAAGACATTCTTATACCTCATCTAACACCAGTGTTATGATTAAGTTGAAAAATTTTAAATGACTAGACCAATGTTTTCTTTTACAGTTATGAACATTATTTCATGTTAAAGACATTTTTCTTCATCAAAATCCCTTTTAAACATGAATAAAATAAAGATTAAACAAATAAAATAGGTCTAGTAAAATTATAGGTGGTCTGGTTACTGATCTCCTTTGTGATAAAGACTTTTCTTTTACATGTCTATGGAGTGCTTCTGGAAAGTGGATTTTTTGGTAATATTTTGTTTATATTCTAATAAAGCATGCCTGAAGATCAGAGTTCAAAGCTAGCCACAGCCATACAGTTCAGACAGTGGCCCAACATATCTTTAATCCCAGGACTCAAGAGACAGGGGCAGATGGATCTCTGTGAGTTCAAGTTTATCCTGTGCTATATGAGAGTGAAACAGTCTAAAAGAGAGACAGAACTCAAATCTTTAATCCCAGCACTAAGGAGGTAGAGACAGAAGTGATATGGCTGGGCAAAGAGAGGAATATAAGGCAGGAGGAAAGAAGAACATATTGCAGTCTAGGCAGTCTGAGGTTTGGTGAGAAGCAATGCAGTTGGGAGCAATCTGAGGTTCAGTGGATCACCCCTTTGGTTTGAGCATTGGTAGAGGTGAGAACTGTATAATGGCTGCTTTGCTTCTCGGATCTTCATCTTTAACTCCACTATCTGTCTGTGGGTTTCTATTATTCATGCTTTACACTAAGGACCTCCTTTTGCTGTTATGTAGTCTTAACCAGTTCCTGTGGAAATGAAGAAGATTCATTTTTGCTCTACAAGATGTGAAATGCCAGGCCATGCTTGCCAATTACCTTCTTGGTTGTGTATCTCTTAAGAGAGCAAGCAGCTCAAAAAGCCACTGTGATTTATCTGATTAACCAAGGTTGTTTCTGTTTGTTTTTTTGGAAATTTTATAATGAAGAGCTTGCCAACACAACTTAATTTTCATCATTTAAAACATATTTAGTCAAGAATCTAATGTTTCTAGCACATAACCCAAGCTTTCAAAATTATAGATAAAATTTTAATGAAGCTTCCAACCCAGCTTTGAATGTGCATGCATTTTACACTTAATTGTTGTATTGTGGTTTGCTGAAACCTTATTAAACAAGCAACTATTTAAAAAGTGCAAGATTTTCATTTTATATCATTTCAACATTTTCAAGTGCATATACGGGACATTTATTTTTCAAAAATGGACTATGCATTGTGAAAACTTTAATAAAATTTCCCCAAGTGTTTTTCCACTATGTTCAATTCTTATAAATTGCTAGAAAATAAAGTAAGAGGTCAGCAAGTGTAGGGGATTATGTAATCATTTTTATCTGGCTCTGGTGCCTCCAAGACGTGATCTTACAATAGCCTACAATTCTAATTAAATTACTTCTCTTGTTGAAATTGGTGCAGAATCCTTATCTCACTACTCTCACTATTCTCATAATTCAGCCTTCTGTGTTGTCCACTTCCTGAAGTCCCATTGCAAACTGAATACTATTAGTTCTCTTAGCACTAAATATGTGTACCTCTCTGCCTAGACTGAATGACTATACTTCTCTCCTAATCCTGTTTACTGCTCCACAATTTCTATGCATACTTCAAGTCCCATCCTTTCAGTCATATCTCCTTTCTTAGTTTATAAGCTCTTTCTATTTTCAAGTCTTTCTATGTTGTCTTCCCACTGCTTGCATTTGCCATTTGGCTATCCCAAGTGAAGTGATTATACGCTTGGGAAAGAAACAAAGATTTCATCTTTTTTCCAGCCCCCCTACATGTTCTAATTTGCAGGGATGCTGAGTCAGGACTTGTCACAATGATAACTCTTCCCTTTGTCTCCTGGTGTACAATTAAAACTTCGTCTAATTGCAGCTGGGATGATTGGCAAATTCCTAAAGATAAGGTCAAAAAGACAAAGAGCATGTAGAGAAGCAATACAGAATGACGTGTTGGATTTGGGCTATGGAATAAGGAAAACAGCCTTTCTTCACATTTTCTTTAACAATTGCATTTAGTTTCCAAATTTGGCTCTCATACATAAAATATCCCTGTTATTCTTCTCTTGGAAAATAGCTAAGCTATTCAAAATTTCTGGGAACAGAGTGTATTCCTCAATTAAGTAGCCAAACTGGAGATTAATGGAACACAGCATGTTGTCAGAGAAAGTGGTTTAAAATCAACAAACATCACAAGGTATAAAAGTGCAAGAAACCCAATCTGCCCAGCTGCTGCCATGCCCTTTGAAAACGGCTGATCTCTCCACTCCACACCTGTTCTGTGTGTCAACCTTCAGGGTAAGTAAACAGAACTAGTAATAGAAAACAGCCCATGTCTTTTTTTATTTTAAAGAGGAAAGCATTAGCCTAACTAACATGCAAGAGAGACTTTGAAAGCACACAAAGATATAACATACACCAATGCAGCCATCTACAAATATTTCATATAGTGCTGTATGTAATATTCAAAAGATAATTTTTCATTAGTTAGGTAATATTATAGAGTTATATTCATTTTTGAGGTTTAGGCCAAAGAAAAGCAGTATTCAGGCAGGGAATGCAATAACTTGTTATGCAACATTTCAAGTTCATCAGAAATTGGTCACTTAGGATTGAAGGAAAAACCAGATACAACCTAGTCTGTTTTTATAATTCATTAACACCCTGTAATGCTTGACTTGATTCTGGATGGATACAGATTTAAAATTAAACACACACACACACACACACACACACTATAAAAGCTGATATCAAACAACAAAGAGATGGCCCTTAAGAATCATAAGAAGCTGGAAACTCTCTCAGAAAATGCTTAAATATACCCTAATGTACTTTTAGCAATTGTATGCAGGTGGTATGAACCACGGAGTTCATGTTTAGCAAGGAAAATATGCAAACATTAAATATTTGAATCACTTTTTACACTAATACACTTTGTACACTAATACATCATATTACTTTTCTACATAGTAGACAAATTCTCAATTAATACACTAATTCTTGGGAAATCCAAATTATGGATTTACCATTTTATGGTAAATATAAATTTTCACCGTTTCTTGAATGAAATGATTCTGGGTTCCACATAAAGAAAGGAGCCGAGATTAAGGTCCTTTATTTTCTGCTCTCACAGATATTAGTGGAAATATTTTAAATACATACACCCTCTTTGGAAGTTGTGAAGGGAAATCAGAAGTGAAAATAAAATTCAGGGTTAGAAGTAACACCAAAAGAGATAGCTTAGTCGCTTTCATAGTTTTTTTTTTCTTTTCAGGGATTGTACATCTTTTTGACACCATAAGAAATCAAAGAAATCACTAAATGCCTCTTTGCAACAAACTTTCACATACACAATAACCAGGATGAGAACACAAATACTAGTATCCCTTTAAACTTAAGAAAAACAGTGTTGTTTGAATAACAAATTATAAAATGAACCTAAAATAGAACAAACGAAAAATAACCTCAAGGACAAAAATTAAACAAATGCATGAGGAGAGTGGGTATGAACAACGAGGAGTCTCATGAACATGAGGAGCTTTTCCCAATGCAAATACCATTTCTAACGTGATGGCCCCTGTCTTCAGGATCACAGTCAATAATTAGGATAGATCAGCCCCTGGTCAGCCAGGAATGTACAGCAACAGTATTGTATATTCAGTAGAGGGCAATTGACCAGGGAAGGGAGGCACATTTGTAAAAGAAGTTGCTGGTCAAAGTTTGTCAAACAACACTTACAAATTGATACCAGAGAAGGACTATTGTATCATGGAACTAAATACTTTAACCTATTTAGACCGCTCAAGTCATCATCTTTCTAATATCCAAGATACCTACAGTGGAACAAAAATGGAAGAAATTTTTGAGAATATTGTGTAAACCACTGTGCTTGCTAAACAAACCACAAACTTACAGTACTATATGTTGCCGGATGCTGTATTATGAATATTACTCTGCCCATCATCATAAGTAGGGACAAAAACTGAAGCAATATAACAAGATCATATTACTAATATGAAGGCGTGGCTGTAAAGATTTTACTAAACCCAAGATAAATGAAAAAAAAAGGGGTGTTTACTGAGGAACCGTGGGAGCGCTTCTCTGCCCTTCCTATGGGATCGGCTGACCCAAGAGAAAGAAGCACAAAAAGAAGCCTGAAGCCATCTGCCTGAAGCCACACCCAAAGAGGTGTGGTCACCATTACAGGTTCACCATCAAGACAAATATACAACAATTGAAATTAAAAGACACTACTAAAGGAGCAAAATAGATGATGATATAAATAGCCTAAGATGCTTGCTGTGGCATGAAGAGAGAAAGACATTTGAAGGCCACAGGGGTTTCATGCCATCTCATTTTGGCCTTAGCAGGGATTATAAGTGAAAGTGTGGTAAGACTGAATGGCCGCTGATTGCTTTTCCTATGTGTCTGCCTAATGGCTATTTGTCTTGTAGTATTATACAAAGTCTGCTATAATTACTGAGGGCTAAAGAATATGCTGATAATGTTAGTCAATGTCTGACACAACTACCTGGAAGCCCATTGAGACTCCCCTGATTTCAACAACTTTATCCATCTAAGAGATGGATGGACAGTTTTCAAAGCTCGTTTTCTCATCGTTGATTTCCAAACACAGCATCAGCGTCATCTTCAGTTACTCTAAAGCTGATCTGTTCTTGAAGATACAGAGCCTATGCTACTGAAACATTGGGCACCATTGATCTTTTGTTTTTAAAATTCATTTATTTTTATATCTTGGGATGTCTTGTCTACATGAATGTCTGTGCAGCAAACATGTGCCTGATGTACACAGAGGAGAGGAGAGAATTGGTCATCAGAGCTTTTTGGACTGAAATTGCAGACAATAATGCACTGTCACATGGGTGTTGGGAGTAGAACCTGAGTATTCTAGAGGAGCAGCCAGTGCCCTTATCCACTGAGACATCTCTCCCCCCACTATTTTTAATATTGTTATTATTAGACCAAAGATATCCAATAATAATCCTATCAGACAATTTTATTCTATTTTATTGATTTTTTGAGACAAGTTTTCTCTATCTAACAGTCCTAACTTCCATGGGCAGGCCTGGACCTCAGAGATGGCTTGCGTCTGCCTGCTAAGTGCTGGGATTAAAGGCGTGTGCCACCACCACCAGGACACAATTTCGTTTTTGTTTCTTTGTTATTTCTAATTCTGTACATTAACATGCTGCACATTTACTGTTATATTTATTTGTAATTATGCTACAGATATCACTGTTATTTTTAATGAGTAAAAAATCCTCTTTTCTATTAAGCATATATATTTATATGCTTATATATATGCTTAATAATAAATTTGTGACTATTTCATCCAATTTGGTATCTTATAACTTCAGACTGAACTCTTTATTTCTATGTAATACAATTGACATTGTTTTAGTGAGGGTGTTGTGTCTGCATGAATTTCTGAACCGTTAGAAATCTGCAGACATTTTCTTTGGTGATGTTTCATATAAGTATGGCACTTGAAGATACTTCATCTACTGGCTTCTAAGCAGGTAATCTGTGTTATCCCATGCATAAATTTGTAACACTTTTCTCCTTAATGGGAACCACATGGCAGAGTCAAGAAGATTATTAATTTTTCTCCTTAACATTCCATAAAAATGAGATGAAAGGATAAAATATGTAAAGACCTACAGCAGTGAAAATACTTAGAAGGACATTTCAGCAGACTTTTCTATGTCCTAAAACATGCTAAATCATAGTTGACTTCAAAGCCACAATAGGATTAAAATGTGGGGGGTAGGATGGGGAGATGGTGGGGGAAATTGGAGGACAGGAGGGAAAGGAAACTGGGATTGGTATGTAAAATAAGATTGTTTCTAATTTAAACAAAAAATTAATTAGATTAAAAAATGTATCCAGGACAGCCTCCAAAGCCACAGAGAAACCCTGTCTCGAAAAACCAAAAAAAAAAAAAAAATGTATCCAAGCAGTAGAAGAAGCACAGAAGCAATGCATGGGCACCACCTACTACTAGGAATGTAGCATCAGAGCACCAACTCTATCTGCAAGGGCTAAGACATTCACAGCTGGAGAAATAAGAAACAGGTACAAGATCTTAATGCAGCACACATTTAAATTCCTAGTTGGATTTGCCTCTGACACAGCATGTCAACTCTGTTCCTCATTCCTGGAAAGACTACATTTTTGTTTTCTGTGTAAACTGGTAAACTTATCCATAGAGAGAGTAATAACAAAAGCCT